TAATCAGTAGAATCGCAGCCGTGTATCGAATGATTCTTCAAAAAGTTCATTCTTTCGAAACATTTCGACCGTAACTTTTCAAACGAACAACCAGTACGCTAAAGGGGACAGGCGAGCGAATAAATAAAATAAAATCTATATAAGAATATATTCTAAAACATTTCTGAATAGGAGTTTCCTCGGGCTCACGGGTCCTTTGAGCGCTGGTTCCGTACATTTTTCTAACGCCCGACCCTGGCCGCGCCCGACCTCGCCGCCCGCTCTGTAAATCTGCGCGAAAGCGTAAACGTATTTCAAGCCTTCGGTATCCAGCGAGACGTGAATGTACCGGGAAGCTTCGAAAAAGTGCGCCCAAATCGTTTCCTCCGGGCGCACGGATCGCTGCAAAGAGATTATCTCGGTAAGCAAGCCTCACGAACCATTTGATCGCTCGTTCCAGCCATTCTCTACCCACCCCCGCCCCGTTCTCCACCCCCCGTTCGCCTCGCCCCAGACATCGGCCGGATCTCCCTCGACTCGTGCACTTTGCAAAACGAGTTCCGCCTTGAGATCAAGTCGCGCGAGAAGAAAACGCCACGTCGACCAAAGATATCGTCCACGGTCCTCGTATCTTCTCCTCTTTCCCTCGCGACCGCGACGCTGTTTCGACCAATCGCGTCGCTTCCTGGCTGTCCGATCCCCGCGACTCACGGTTCCACGTAAATTCGCGGAGAAAACCGCCCCCATAGCCTTTCCCTAAACTCCATTTAATCCAAGGATCGAAGTCTTCTTCTTAATTACTGCGAATATCTCGTGCCCACGTTCCGTTTCGTAAACGGGACGACTTTCCGCGTCGACCTCAATGGAAAAATGATTTCGTCCCCGGTTAAGCTCGTATTATATGTAAATATTATTTATCGATAAAAGTTCTCGACGCCGGCGAGATATTCCCGCGCCTTGTCGCGAATACGGCCGATCGGGCATTAAATATTACCGTAAAATGTTTCTCCAAGCTATTCGGGTTACTTCTGCAATTTTTGATAACGGATACGTATCGATCGAGCAAACAAATGACTTTTTTACGGAATTCCTCTCCGGCCGGGAGAAGGCCAATTCCTATTTTTCGATGAAAAATATACAGCCGGCGTTTACACGGACCCGCGATCCGTGACTTTCTTGTAATCCCCGCGATCGTTTGTCCTAGAAAGTTTGATTTTCCATCGCACCGTTGCCATACGGACGAGGATTCACGGTTTTCCATATCGACGACGCCGCGATTCGCTGATTCCTGTCTGCGTCACGCGTGAAATCGACCGGGCGCGTTTCCCGTCTTGTTTAACGAACACTTGAGATTAGAGTGACCCGACGCGGATTATCGAACATGGAAACGCCCCATCGTGCGTCGCATATGTTGTCCTTAGAATACCTTATTAAAATGCTGATTGGGCGCCGATTGATATTCACTAATCTTGTTCTTAAAGTGTTCGTGTTCTGTTACGACGTTTTTTATTCTATATATTTATAGAGTCTCCAATTATTTATTAATTCTTTAACACGTTCTGTGCCAAGATTACTATTTCATTACGTCATTGATCCATAAGTCATCATTAGACTGCGGATGTTTATGCAAATGCATATGTTTCTAGGAAATATATAACAGGATGAAACCTAAATAGATGTTCGTTTCATTATTAAAGGTTGTTAAAAATATATTTTTTATTTTGCATATGGCATATGGTTTGTGTATCTTTTATAAGAACATATGTCATATACAGGGTGTTCAGCCACCCCTGGGAAAAATTTGAATGGGGGTTTCTAGGTGCCAAAATAAGACGAAAATCAAGAATCGCAATTTGTTGATGGAGGCTTCGTTAAAAAGTTATTAACGTTTAAAGTTCCATCCGTATTGAATTTTTTTCTCGGAAATGCGCAGGAATTCGAGGGTATGTCTATTCACCAAAAATGATTGCAATTGACCCCCGCAATCGAAAATAATTTTTACAAAACGATTTGAAATTTTTTTTTCCGTCGAAAAATTTCACACTTTCTCGAATTTTTTTCTAGAAAGTGGGTAATATTTCGGGGGTATGTCTATTCACTAAAAATGATTGTAATTGACCTCTGCAACTAAAAATAATTTTTCCAGAACGATTCGAAATTTTTTTTTCGTCGACTTTAGGTACCTAATTAGATTTTCGGTAAGGAATTTTTTTCTCGAAAATGCATAGGAATTCGGGGGTATGTCTATTCACCAAAAATGATTGCAATTGACCCTTGCAATCGAAAATAATTTTTCCAGAACGATTCGAAATTTTTGAATTTAATTGTTAATAACTTTTTAACGAAGGCTCAGTCAACAAATTGATATTCTTGAATTTCGTCTTATTTTGGCCTGTAGAATCCCCCATTAAAATTTTTCCCAGGGGTGGTCGAATACCCTGTATGTTTATTGAATTTCTTTTCATAGAATTAATGCTTATACAAGCTTTGAAACATCTAAAATGTAAATAGAAGTTTGTTTTACCATTAAAGGTCTTTGAAAATAAATATTTTATTTTACATATGGCATATAGTTTGCATATCTTTTATAAAAACCTATGTCGAAACATACTGCATACGTCATATATGTTTATTGCATTTCTTTTCATAAAATTAATGCTTATATGGGCTTTCGAACATCAAAAATCTAAATACAAGTTTGTTTTGTCACTGGAGGTTCTTAAAAAGATATTTTTTATTTTGCATATGCCATATGGTTTGTATATCTTTTGTAAAAACATATGTCGAAATATACTGCAAATGTCATATATATATGTTTATTTCATTTCTTTTGTTATATTTATTATACGTTTTTCTTTGTTATAATATAGTTTATTTGAACTGGTATAATACACACTTTGCCAGGACATGAAACATACATTTGCAAAACAGGTATGACCCAGTATTCGATGCCATTTCTCTAACTTCGACATATTCATTGTACTAATACAAGTTCTAGGAAAAGTATTTTTATATTTTTTTATATAACAAATTAATTCATAAAGTTGATTGATACAATGGAATTCATTTGATCTATTACTTTTGACGCTTTTCATAAAATTAATGCTTATATAGGCTTCCGAACATCTATTTCAATTTACTGATTCGACGTTTCTATGCAATAATCATGACAAAAATGACAACATAGCTATTTGTACATCTCGTGTTTGCCTATAGTGAATCATTAACGGTAACAGACCACAGATGCTATGAATAGTATTAATCAGTTATTCTGAAGTTATTCTTGGCAGATAGGTTCTACAAAAACCTAAAATATTCAAAATTAGTGTTTTACGAGATCAGATCGTTAAAGAACCTAAAACAATTAAAGTATTGTATACTACTTCATCAAATTCAAATATGCCTATAAATTAACTTTAAGCGATAAACATCATCAATTAACCCTTGACAATATCGAGAAAATACCCGTAACATATTGTAATTTAAATTATAATTGATTACTATTATGTTTAAGTAATAAAATTATTTGAACGTATTTTGAATATATTTTGACATATTATCGATACATATTTGACATATTTTATTAACATAAATAGTGGACTAATAATAGCTACTACAATTCCAAATCTTCGAATTGTTTCAACCCCAGTTTATTAAAGGTTCGTTACTTCCCCCGACGAGTACTACGAGCCCAACAGGATAGTTGTCGCGTGTTTCTTTCCGCCAATAGCGTAGAAATAATTTTGTTTGCCCGCCAGTAAATTTCTGTGCCCCATCCCCGACCTATTCGTTTCTCGCCGAAGGGAACTGCGTTCGTTCGCCTCTACTTCTGTTCGAGATAAACTCGAAAGTTAAAGTCACAATACCGAGATGCTCTGGCCGAAGTTAAACTAGAATTGGGCGATGCACAAGTGGCTAACAATGAGTTATTAAGCAGTTGTTCAAGTTTTAATTGCATCCCGCAGTCCCTTCCCTGTTCCCCGTAGCTGTACGTAACGACGACAGACTTATTCTTGGGATTATCGGCGAACGTTTCAAGGAACGACAATCCCGAGCTTCTTCTACGCTTCACGGGTCGCGCCGGGTCCAAATCCCACGTATGCCCGACGCTGTCTGTGTCTCCTTTCAAACGGTGTTACAACTCTTCCGTGAAACTCGATTTCTCTCGCAATATCTTTATAGTTTCGGGCCTCAAAAAGGAATTTAAAGTTTCTCGAGTTGGATAACATGTAATTCGTTTTATTCCACTCGGAGACACTTCGTCACGGGTCTTCGATGTTTTCGTTTGCAAACAGCAGGTGCAACGGTGGTCGAGAACGCGGAAAAAATGTAACGAATAACACCTCTATAAACTTTATAGCCACTAAAACTTCAATCCTCCATAACCCTGGCAATCTTACGAATGTCGCTTTAATGCTTCGGGAACACATTTTCAGGGCTCATAACCTTAAGAAGATGCTATGATTGAAAAATCGATTTTCGCGGACCCTCCGGAACGCCACCTTAATTTTCGTGTTCGGCCATGGGCGCGGGCAGCGACGCGAAAAGAGCGATCCTCCACGTAACTTCAATCAGCCTCCCTTGTATTTTCACTCGGAACAAACGGGGAAGTCTAATGTGCGAGCAGGGCGTCGGGTCGAAACGCGAGTGGGTCCCCTCTGCAATTTATCTTTGACCTTAATCGTTTCTTTTTATTTCAATTTATTCACACCCGTGGCCTCCTACGACCGCAGGAGAATTCCCTTTCGTCCCCTGCCTTGTAAAACGCTGATTTAACACGTTGGGTGACACGACTTTTCGCTAAGGAGCTAAAACAATGTCTTCTCAAGATCAGATGCAATAGAAAATAAATCATCAGAACTCCTGTATTTTAAGGGGGCTGTAAAAATAAGTTCTACGACAAATTGCGATCAGTTTCCAATTGTCTGAAAACAAAGTTTCGTTTTCGTGGACAATTCGAGGGGTATGCAAAGCGCAGCGTATTCCTGACGCGTATTTTTTTCGAGCGAACGAGTACTCACGGGTCCAAGATGCTTGTACCCGGATCGCAACGCCAAGAGAGACGCAACCCGGGGCCCACCCTCGAGTCTGACGACCCACTCTTCTCGACGATGATGACGACGTCCGACAACGCTCGTTGCAAACTCGTTCGCGAGCAACAAATACACAGCCAGCCGGAAACACCCACTGTCGAGTACAAAATTCACTTTTTAAAACCGACTTGCGAGCGACGTAATTTATACGCGTACCTGACCATCGTCGAAAGCTTTCGATTCGGTATATACGTATATTCCAGCGCGTGTTTTAGAATTTCGAGAGTTCTTCGACGCGAGTTCTTTATCGTCCGATCGGAGGGGAGAGTCGCTAAACGGAGCTCCCTCGGTGACTATTGGATACCGAGTGACAAGTGATCGGACAGCGTGTGCGACAATTAGCTCCGATGCTCTTTTTTCCCTGCAGAGGGGTCACTTTCTCCCCACCGCTGGCTCTCGTTGGGAGAGGGTTGCTACGGTGATAATGTAAACTAGGCACGATAGCTATGAAGATCTATGGCTACGGTGATGCTTTTCAGGATCGTTGCACAGTGGCCTATTTTCTGTGTCTCTTGATTTGCACGAAAATTGGTCTGGGCTAGGTCTAGGTTAGGTCTTCCAAAATTGCTCTTTTAGGGGTTTCGAAGGTCGTCGATTACGAATTTAAACTAAAAATTTGGAAAAACAACGGGTCAAAATTGGTGGACGAATATATTACAAAAGTATCGTAATGGCCTGAAAATTGGTATCCTTGAGTTTTCGAAATCGCTGATTATGAATCTAATAGCAAAATTTCAAAACACAAGGTCAGGACGTTCGAATATGTTGATAAAAATGGTAATATTGTAATTAAAATTGAAATTAATGACTAGACTTTGAAAGGAAAACTGCTATTTTACTGATTACTTTATTTTTAGTCAGTTTTGGATTCTGATAAATATGGTCACTATCACATAGTATGTTTACAACTTTGGCAGGAATCTGTTTCTTTATTTTTTTTAGAATTGTGCTCAAAAGTGTTATTAGTGGATCTGAATGTAGCAATAATCTATTAAAAATGTCTTCGTTAGTTTTCTTCCTAGAAATCTTTTAGCTATAACTTCTAAATAATTCTTTCATATCCTATGGCATGCTAATACCTCTTCTGTAAACCACCCTATGGATATAATAGTACTTTTTGCCGATGAGTAACTTCAACATCATTCTTGGAGAGCATCAATTCGTAATTAATTGTTACTTTAAGTATAAATATATTCTAAAATTACATTCAAATTACATTCTAAAATTAGTAGAGAGCATATAAAGGTCATCAACGATTTTTTAAACGGAATTATATATTTTTTATTGCATCAATTGATGCTCCTTGATATTTTTTACAAAAAAGTATGAATCTATTTATATTAAAAAATCATTAGTTTAAGAGATATTTTAATTTTAATTTTGTTAGAAAATCGTGGCACTTTCGTCGTTCTATATCGATAATACGATCAATCAGGCGGCGTTTGATGCTCTGATATGTATACAATAAATATGTCACACAGGCAAGGAGGTGATTTGTACTTCAAAATTTGCATTTTGGCCAGCTTTTCGCCAAAATGGACCACCGTGCAGTGATATAGGGTTTACGACGGACGCGAAATAATTTGTGATTGAAAATGCCAGCCACGAACATTGTTTGCATCGACTGTGATTAATTTCTTCGTAGATATCATTTTTCAGAGCGTCAAGACTTCGCGACCGTGGTACCTGGAGAACAGTTATAATACAAAGCAACCGCTCGCCGCTATTATTTCGCATCTCAATTACCACGGCGCGGCGGTGAGTCAATTCCGTGAGAAATGGCTCGGAATAATTCCTCTATTTTACCGAATATTGCGGGGCGCGACAATGGATCGAGAGCGTTCTTCCGAGAAATACCATCGACAAACATTCTCGAGTCCCTTTACCGCCGATTGAACTTTCCGCCAACAAGCAATCATCAATTGTCGAATCACCGTAAATGTCTGCGAAACATTCGTAGCTTTATACGACGGTCACTAGAATCCGATCCGGCACCGAAAGTGTCTCACCGGTATCGCGTGGCGTCTCGTATCGAGGCGTTCATAAAATCCAAATAATTCCTTCGCTGTAGAGAAGGATTGCTGGTGGAACGAAGTTAACAATCGATAAAAGTCTCCCTTTTGGATATGAAAGTATCCATAAAATGTCAGACAAAAGGATTCCGCGTGACGTGGACGAGTCCGTACAAGTGTCTCGCAGAATTTCGCTTCGACGCGGATTCGTCGCGACTGCGGATTACAGCGGTTTAATGGAAAATGAACTGAAATTCCTTTGAAAATTTTTCCTGTAATTAGGGACACCGATATCCCTGAGCTGTGGAAAATTTCATTAAAATTTTTATCGATAATTTACACTCTTTACAGGCAACCCGATATATTAACGCATCGTAAAAACCTTTAAAATTCATTTAGAATGATAATTGCGAAGAAATAAAGTCGAGTTTACGCGGCCAGAAATCACTTTGACCCGTTTCAAACTTACCCTCGACGTGAAAGAAATAAAAATATCGTTTCTATTCCTTTGGGGCCTGTACGAAAGACGCGAAAATATTATTCCTCTATAAAAGATCCCATTATTTTGGGGAATCAGTGGTCGTGCGTTCGCGAAAGGGCGTGGAATAACAATTGGGTTTGTAATTGATGACAGGACAGGTGAAGAGGATTTTATAGCCCGTTGTGAACGATTTCGTTTTGTCGGCCTCCGGGGCTGTAGTACTTATAAATAAATTCAGTCTCTGTTACTGCCTGTCTCCGAATAGGTGTACAGACGAAGGGCGGCTGATAAAAGTAGAAACAGAAAGCCGGTAAGAGTCGTAAAGTTCGTTGAGAAAGGGGACGGGGTATATCTGGCGATAAAAGACTCGTTTTGCTTCCGCTCGCAACGAATACGGGATCAACTCCCGGGCCGCTCCTATTTGCGCGGATTTTCCCTCGAACGGGACAAAATCACAATGTAACCGGGCGCCTTTTAGCGTTTCCTTAATGCAAATACGTTCGACTACAAAGTATTAAACGTTCTGCGAATCAATCATTCAGAGATTTCTTATTTCGGGCACCTAAGAAAGTTCTTGCGGAGTTTTGTTCGTCAAAAAATACAAAGGAGGTAGAAATAGGCCGATTTTGTACCGTGCTGTGATCGTGCAAGTTGATTTATCAGCAAAATAATTATTTTAAATAATAGGAGGTAAATTCTTCGTTATTTGGTGTCAAGTATATTATAAAAATTATAAAATTATGGTTACATAAAGGTAAGAATCGTCAGCCCATGCACCAACATTATCGGATAGAAGATAACGAAAACGAAAACGAAATTTGTTTCAAGTCGATATCGTAGTTAATTCCGGAGAAAACAGTTATTTACGAAAAAATGACATAGTAATTATGCAAGCACCCTGTATAACAATTTAAAGTAATCTTCAATTAAGTAAACAATTTATGATCCAGTTTTATTGCACACTGGTCGTATAATCAATAGGAAGTGCTGAAACTTCTTTGGATATGTAGCGTCAAAGTAAATGTGAAAATAAGCATAGAAGACAGCAAAAATTATAATAGCTTGTATAGTCATCGGATAGGGGATGAAATGCCCTTTAAAACGAGCGTTCGAACAAGTCGATAGCTTTATTAGTTCCGGAGATATGGGGATTTTAGTTTCAAGTCGATGCGGTGGCTAGTTTCGGAGATATAAGGGTCCGAAGTGTTTGTTTACATTCTTACTAAGGTCGTTGACCTCACGTGCCCGTTGAAACTAGGTCACTCGACCACTCGGTCACGAGTCACGTACGAGAAAGAGAGGTCCGGCGCGACGCGTTAGACGGAGACAGCGATAGTCGAATATAAGAAAAATTACTTTTTACATAAATTACGATATCTCGAAAACGGAAAGTCGGATCGACAAAAACCAAAAGCCATTTTAAAGAGGAAGGTTTGCCCCCGCTAACAATGGCTCAATATTGGAAAAACACTTCTAGTTTTGGAACTGCACGCGTCGAAAGTTTTAGTATTTCTGATACGCATTAATACGCGTTTTTAAGGCAGCGGGAGCGTAGATAGTGGAATTTAAAAAATATCTCTTTACATAAATTACAATATCTCGAAAACGGAAAGTCGGATCGACAAAAACCAAAAGCCATTTTAAAGGGGAGGCCTTGCCGCCACTAACGGTTGTTCAATTATGGATAAAACTCTGGCAGTTTCGGAACTGCATGCGTCTAAAGTTTGACTATGTTTAATACGCGTTGTTAGACTGTTCTAATACAGTGGAAGCTGAAGATTCTCTCCTTTCGTCTTTTCTATACATATATTTCCTATTTCCATCGGGAGCTAGCCAGAATTTGATACCAAATTGTATCCAGTTTTTTTTACAAAGAAATATAAATCATTCAACCGGTAAATAATAATCTAAAATAATATTGTATGTTAGAAATTCTAAACGAAATGTTCAAAACAGTCATTTGACCGGTCGCGGTAGATTTAGTGTTGATAAAATGTTTCGTTGGCAGCATGGTCCAAAGTCGGGCCATTTCTACGACCCCCCTTTCTAATCGTAATAATTATCGAAAATATTTTTGGCTTACGTCTGCCCGTGGTTCCTATAATTCGTTAACTATTTCACACGACCCACGGTATCTTGTACTCCGGTTTCTCCAAAACGTCAACCAGGTGCCATGCTCGTATAATGAAGGTGCAAACTAATTGGAAACGGGCGAAACTCGATTTCGTACAAACTCGAAGGTCCTCCGTCGAACTCGTCCATTTTCAGTCGAGACTTTCCCATTGTGCCCGAACGAGTTTCAACTATTTCGCGACGGGGAAATCGTTTATGGCACCCGGTAAAACGCCTAATGCATCGAAACGCGCGTTACTTTCGCGCTAACACGGTACTGCGACTCACTCCCGGCCCACGGTTTACAGATAATTTCGTTAGAATAGTTAACGGGAAGCTTGTATTCCATTAATGGACTATGGATTTCGCTTACGTTCCTCCGCCCCTTGCACGTCAGATTCAGTTCATGCCAATGCTCTCTGCACGTTGCTCAACTTTCGACTCCCACCCTGATCGAGCAGAAAAACGATCGCATTCGAATACCTGGAACCGACAGCCCAACTTGTATCCGATCCGGGTATCGTTTTCTTCTATTCAACGACTTCATTTGGCAATAACG